TAAAGTCATCTTTTCATGTAGAAGTAACGATTGATGTTTTTTTTTTCTTTTCCAACTGATCATTTTGTTTGTTTTACAGTTAGAAATTTTAATACGATGCATTTCACGACGTTTCTGAATTATTGAATAGGAATATATTTCTTCGGAAAGGCAAAAACGTCATTCAATCAAGAGCTTTTTTATATGCGACATTTTGAAAGAAGAATAAATTTAAAAGTAACAGACGATATTTCTCCTTTCAAATAGAAAATGTTAGCAGAATTTTCTTCCAAAACATTTGCTTTTTTAAAATTCTTTATTGAATCTTTCTAAAAATATGGTATATCCATTTATAGTATATAGAATTCTCCTTAATAGTTTTATTAGTCCAAAGGGGTAGTTTTCAGAAGGACTATTAATTTCGTTTTGGCATTTTGCATCGATTCACGATAAGTGTCGTTTTACTTTTCAAATTGTTGCCACCAAATATTATCGCCCTGTGCTATATTTAAAGAAATTAAATAATGAAGAATTTGCATGAATGTATGTATGTTTCTCGCATTGTGATAAAACAACGGTACCTAGAGCCGTCGAAATCTGAATAACGTAATCTTCCATAGAATATGGGCATGTGGAAGCCGTAATTTAAATTTGAAATTTGTTTATTATCGATTTCATATTTTGTAACACTTCAACGAATTTTTGATTAACAAAGTAAACAATTTCAAAGCGAGAAATGGTAACACTGTACGGGGAAAATCATTTTTAACTCCAGCGCGCGAGACCGTGTATCGGAAATTCTAAAAGATATGCTCATTTTAAAATTATTTTGCGTTATTGCTGTTAAACTGAATTTATGGTTGATATTTAATGAATAAAGGTAACAAACAAAACGCTAAAAAATGCCCCTTTGGACGTAATTTAAAATTTGAAACCTTTCAGATTTTATTTATTTTAATTTTTTAAATTTTTTGTCACGGCACTGAATCCGCGAACTCGGTTCAATAAAAATCTTAAACAGATTTCCTTCGAGGTATAAGAAAGAATTTCTGACAACTTGAAAACATAAATTCTGATTTAATTACAAGTTCTACTAAAGGCTTTTAAAAATATTTATAGCACACCCAAACTGTAAACATTTAATTAGACATCTTAATTTTCCTCCATCGTTTTATCTGTTAAGATATTATATTTATAGGGTTCAAAAGTTCTGTTTTAAATACAATATTTTTCTTTATTTAAGCTAAGCATTTTTTGATTAACGTAAAACTTATGAAATATGTTATTAAGCAGCAAATGATGCAGTTAAATCAAACATCGTTATTTTAATATTTTTTGTTGTCTTCGAATGTTATATCAAATGGAAAATACTTATGCAACTATCTATATGAGGTCAAGCCTAAAAGAAACTAGCATTTTAATGAGGAGAAAATTGATATGTATCAGAAATTGAAGTCATTATCCGACAGAAACGTATTTTTATTGTGGAATGAAAACTTGTTTCGCACGAGTGATGCAGCACTTTGTACGAGAAGGAAAATTTTATCAAAAGATTTATTAAAAGTTATTTCTTTCTATAAAATAAGAAAAAACTGAAGTTTTTTTGTTATTTTGCATACGTGTTGTTTTAGGTCTCTATTTTATGAACATTATTAAAAACTTCTTTTTTTTTCAGTTATTTAGGTTTAAATAGTTACGAATAGATTTAGAAAATTTAATTTTTTCAAAGATCGTATTTCGGAATCGATTCAGAATTTTGTATTGAATCAAACTTGCTATTATTAGATAATATTAATTATAAAAGGCAATTAAGAGTAATTAGGTTATTTTGAAGCAGGATACAAGAAAAATGTGTAATCCGTCGCCGGGACTCGAACGCTGGCTCTCTCGAATCCGCGGTGAGTATGGTTACAAATTATACCACGTAGTCATGCGAAAAAGAAGAAGAAAATACCTTATACTGCATAGATATTTTTGGAATTATGGTACAGTTTTTAGTACAACGAATTCTGTAAAAACAATGTATAAAAATGTAAATGGTATATTTTAAAGTATTTCAAGCAACACTTAAACACAGTTCAGACTAGCGTAACAATATAAAATCTTTTCAATTTATTTTTATCTCTTGCATACTAAATCGTATATTTTCGATGCAATAAAGCCACACTACATTATTATGATTTTTCTTTAAATTTCAGGACTTTGGAAATAAATTTCTTTAAATTAAGACATTCATTTGTTACCTCTAATTATCTCATAAGTGACACAGTGGGTCGGGCCAATGGAATAGTCTTATTTTGTCCTGTCGTGAGTTTAAATAGGCACAATACGCCGGATGCAAGATGCATTCGTGGTTTCCTTGTATGTAACGTAAATACGAAGTGATGCTACTCTGAAAATCCTCCCCCCCCCACACAGTCATCTTTCCTCTTAGGCAGATAGCCTTTGCCTTGCCGCATTTAATTAATTAATAAACTAGAAAACAACAATTAGCAATATCCATAACAATATAATAGATATTACAATTAGACAGTTACATAACATTTTATTTAAAATTGTAGAGTCATTAGGTTATTTCGGAAGCAGGAGAGATGAAAAATGAGCAACGCCTTCGTCGGGAATCGAACCACGGACCTCTGGAATACGCGCCCAGCGTGCTGACCACTACACTAAGAAGGCATGCTAAGAAGGCGGGAGAAATACCTTATAAAATCTGTATGTGTTTATTTAAAATCTGTATGTAATAATAATGGACTATTATTATAATTGTTATTATAATAATAATAATAATTATTATATAGCAAACAATTCTAATTGTAAATTTATCCGTATATGCATCTAAAAAAAGAACACCCAAATTTTCGCGAAATAAATTTTAAAAAATATTTTGTTGATGATAGCAAACTTTTGATGTTTTGTCAAATAAAAGTTCATTTCCAGCCGCTACTCACAAAACGTAATATTATAAAAATAATAATAATAACAAACAGTACTTAAAATACAAGTTTCTTGTTGTAACTTACTAGAAAGTAAGAAATACAGCTAATAAATAAATTAAAACGAATTTATTCCCTTTATTGTCAGATAGGATGAAATATCTAATTAGTTATTCAAAATGTTAAGAGAACAAAAATCCTAGATATTGTTAATTAAATCTTAAAGAAAGCATTATTTTTAAAACATACGTGACAGCTGTTATCAAACAGAAATCATAAACATATTTACATATGACAAATCATCAAATTTGTCAAAACCCTAAATGCTGATAGCTTTATGGATTGGACAGGATTATTTAATTTCGGCAAAACTCATAGCATAACTTTTGATTCGATAGATTTTAAGAACATCACGAAGCGAAGTCATTGCAGTAACAAACGTTTATGTTCAAATGAGATTAGAATTCCGACCAATGCCTTGAAAAGTTGTCATCCTTCGCTAACCACCGTAGCGTCTAGGGGGTTGCCTGATAACTTTGTGCGGGGGTTGTATTTCTAGGGAAAGGAGCTGGTTGTACGAAGATTTTTAGCAATTTTATTATGTAATATTCATAACACAATTTTTATATTTATCAAATACATACAAATAGTCTTTATTCATTGCCCTTTTCATAGTATACATCAAAAATCAAATATACTCTCAGATGACTTTAAATTTTTAAAGTTCGTAGAAGTACCAAAAAATATTTTGCATGAGCCATTGATAAATCTGTGCCTTGGTGTAAAAGGGCTAATGTCCAAAATTGTTAATGAGACTTCTGCATCAGTCTGCTCAGATCATCACAGGGAAGAGAACCGATGTCCTTCTAATGTTGCGTTTTAATTATATTTGTACTTAATAAATAATTATGACATTTCTATTTAAAAAGATACTATCATATTATTATTTTTATAACATGTGCATCAAAATGAAAAAGAAATAGAAAGAGTTATTATAATTGTAATTGTTATAAATATGTGTATCAAAAGAAGAAAGGAACCTTGTATCCTTTTAAGAACAACGAAAATATTAATCCCTAAAAATATTTCTATTTATTCTACCCCTAAGGTTTAGAAACTTGACGAAATTTAAGTAACTTTTCCTAAAAACATGCAAATTGGCATTGAAATCTTTTCTAAGAGATTTTAAAAAGTGAGTTGTTTTCAACTAAAATGAGATTAACAGAAAAGAAAAACCGCATACAGAAAACAGCCTTTTTGAGGAATAGAACGTGAAGAAGAATTACTGAAAAAGTACCAAAACTTCATTAATTATTATACAGGAGACAATGAAACCATTTTAAGACTACTGCTCTCATTTTTTAGATGATTTTTGTCATTTTTGAAGGTAGTAATATTAGAGAAGAAATCTTAAGCACCGATGTTTATTTATGTTTATAGAGCAACAGGCCATTTTACAAAGGGGTCTTCACGAAAGGTTTAGTTTTCAAAATTCATTGGTACGGAAAATGAAACATGCTCCCTTTGTATTAACATTCAAATATGATCAATAGTTGGTAAAATAGCACAATGCTGGGAATTTCATTAGTAATTTGAGTTTCATTTGCTTGGATCAAGTTCTGGCGAAAGACACTGCCTGCTTTCCTTTTAGGATTCTTCTTATATGAAAGCCTATAGCTTCATAATTTAAGGCAATATATATTAAAATATCACTAACCGCGGAAACAAACAAAACAAAAAAGCCCCCCCCCAAAAAAAAACAAAACGGGGAATTTGACTGAAATGAAATCATAAACTGCAAATGGAATTACAAACTGATAAAGAGTTAGTGGTTGCCGCATTAATGTACCACTAAGCACGATAAGAACGTTCCACGCATTTATTCAGAATAAATGTTTAACGCGCTATTTCACTGGTCCTGTGGTCAGATACAAGGATAAAGCATGTTACAAATCATTTATAGCATGTTTTATGTTTAAATTTTAAATGCATACTTTTGACAGATAAAAGTGATTAAAAAAGTCCTTAAGACATTTCTTTTACAGATACCTTAGATATAGTGATAATAGACTAAAAAGATCTTACCTCGTTTCATTATTGCTGCTAGTGTAACGGCTCTTGTAAAATCCAACGATGCTTCCCAACAGGGAACCATTAAAACTGAAAGATAGCTTATAGGTGGTAGGAAGAATTATATTGTCCATTTCAACAACAAGATATTCGTGAAGATCGTACAAGAAGTGCTTGTTTACACCATATTCTGTAGTACCTGTTTTATCATACACTTTGGAATCCTTCACAGTTAGTCTATAGGCATGGACAACGAAATGTTTTATCTGTCGCGTCACATTCACGGTTATGTTTACTGTTCCAGTAAAGATGTCCGTTTCCAAGTTTGGATACAATAATAAGTCGTAATGTATTGGAATGATATACTTTGGAAGCCTGAAATCCTCCCAAGGACGATGGTCTTCGGGTACACTTTCTGTAGTATGATCAACATCCAGTTGGCTCTCTGTCGAACGGTTTGTAACCGTTTTGGACGCAGTTTGAGGACTAGGCGTATGAGTGACTACACCTGCAACAGCTGAATCGCCGACATGACCCATATCTCTTGAAGACATCGAATTTTCATGGTGCAATTGGCCTTTTAGCACAAAAACGAGAAGGCCTACGCTTAACACTAGAAGCAGAAAGATGATGACAGCAAAAATGCAAGATGACTGTGGAACGAAGACTTTGGCCATCTTTATTTAAATACTGATGAATGATATCTTTGGCGGGTCCAACACTTTGATCGTGTTGTAATTAAAACAAGTTCGCAGTTATCTATTGGGAAATAACTGAAATCACTTGTAGTTTCATTTTTTAAAAATATGATAAGACACTGATGAAATTTAAAATGAATTCTTTAAAATTTCACAGCAGCGATTTTATTAATAAATAACGACAGTGATTGTTACGACGGTGGCATCGGGAGAGTTAAATAACTCACTCATGGGGACTAGCACGGATTTACGTTTGCCGCTCATGACTTCCCAAAGCCCGTGAGTGGGAAAAGTAGGACAGGTTTGCCAGCGATGATGTTTTGCCAGGACAGGTTTGTCGCCAAGGGCTTGCGTTTCTCGCCAAATGAGCGGAATCTTTATGTAGTGTGTTGACCTACTGAACAATTGTTAAGTCGCGATGAGAAGAAAAAAATATCCTAGAACTAAGAGAAAGTGCGAGAAAGAAGCGTAAACTAAGAGAACTCTTTGAAGCAGTGAATCTTATTGTACAATAAATAAAAGTAAAAAGTTCCAACTTTTTTTTTTTTTTTTTTTTTTTTTTTTTTTTTTTTGGCTAGTGGCTTAAATTACGCAGGAGAAATGTACTACATATCCTGTTCTTTTTATTTAATTTTTTTAAGAAAATATTGCAATATAAGTAAATAGTATGTATATTTTTTCTCAATGGCTAGTACATGTTTTGATTTATTACATATAGACTGCTTTTTTTTTTTACTTAAAAAAACGTGCTTTGGTGAAGTTCATAAATAAAATTTAATTATATTTATTATTTTATTATTTTTTAAACCAGTGTACAGTTCGTTTCTTTTTATAATGTAAATTGTTCTCAAAACACCATGAAAAGAAAATCTGGTAAAACGTTAGTGTTCATGATGATTTTTTTCAAAAGGAGAATTCAGTATGAATAATATTTTTTTCCAAAAATAATTATTAAAATTGCATAATTAATTTATTCATATATATAAAAATTTTATTCATTCAAATGCGTTTGTTATTTAATAAGTGCATAAACATCTATGTATCTACTTATATATATCAACCTCTCTCTCTCTTTATATGTGAAGTAACTGATTCTTCATAAAGAAAATAACATGTCATTAATTCAAAAATAAAAAAGATGTCACTCACATACTAAAAACTATCAATCAGATTTTTTACTGTTGTCCTTTTCCAACTATATCTGCTTAAAAAGAGACCAGAATTAAAACGATTTTGTGTCAACCTTTGTGTCATGACAGCCATACTCAAATTCTGGTGGTAAAATCATATATATTTCATTGTATATAGTTGCGTTAGTGTAGCTTATCTTAGAAAGATTTATTGCTCACTACGTCTATTTCTAGAAAATGTTTAGATTTAAACTACATCAAAAAGTTTAATCCTAAAAGCAAAGTAAATTGCAGACAGAGATATGAAAGATACAGAACTTTCTTGTTCGGTGAATTTTGAAACAGAATTCACGTGCATCACTTTTTTCTATGCAGCTAAAGCTGAATTCCGGGAATTCAAAGAATTTATTGAGCAGCAAGTTTTTTATTAAAATACTATTTATTCCTTTAATAAGTAGATTTGCAACATAGTAATTCCGAGCTTCTAAAACATCATAATATCTTTACTCACTATAACGTCAAGTAGGGAAAGAAGGTAGTACTATTTAGGTATTGTTTAAGTACGATACATTTTGCAGTTACGAAATATTTAGTAATAGTATAAAAATTTCAGACTTTAATGATTATCATTTTTTACGAAAACTGCATATGCTTAAAGATATTTATAATTTTATTGAATATTAAACAGTATCTTCAGAAAAATTTTTTCTACTTTTCCTGAAATACCGGCTGACCCAAAAGTCCGTTAACATCTGAAAATTCAGTAATTCACTGAATAATGTAGGTAGAGAAGTAAAACTGACACACATGCTTCAAATGTCATGGAGCAAAAAAAGTGCTTAAAACGGCCAACAGATGGCGCATCATATGACAACAAAAGCAATAATTAGCACAACAATTCATTTTTAACAAAGACTATGCTCTTTATAACAAATATTCAACATGTGGGCCGTCACTCATCAATAATATCTGTAGTCAAGGGACAATGTTGGGAACAACACTGTACAGCATATTTATAGGTATGGTGAGAAATTGCCGTCGGATTTAGTCTTTTAGCATCCTTAATGAGGTCGGTTGATTGTGGTAGACTTTCGATTTCAAGTAACCCCACAACCAATAATCACACGGATTGAGATACGGGGAGCTGAAAGGCCAATCATGATGGAAGTGGCGGCTCAGCACGCAATCCTCACCAAGCGATGTGTGCAAGAGATCTTTCACACGCGTAACAATATGGGGTGGAGCGCCATCCTGCATAAAAGTCATAAAGTGTTTTTATCAGCCAGATTAGGAGTGATGCGATTTCGTTACATATCAGCGTACCTCGCACCCGTCCTACTGTCATTTTGAATAGTAGAACCACGCATTTCGTCGAAGAAAAAGGATGCGATCACGACTGACGTGATAAATCCACATCACACTGTCACCAACACCTGGAGGGAAGGATCGAAAAATTCAAAGTCATGAAGGGACTGATTCCCTATCTCATTACAGCTTATTTCATGTACGATTCTCATGCGGCATCGCTGGCATTTTGCTGCCCAGTGACATATGTTGAGACTTTTTTTTTTTTTTTTTCCATTTTTTAAAAATAAAACCCCATATCATTTTAAGCATGTGTGTTAGTTTTTATCTCACTTTTTTAACTACATATATTATTCCATGAATTATTGAATTTTCAAATGCTAACGAACTTTTGGGTCGCATACGGTATTATTGTGAAGGCATGTTTTGTCATACTGCTAAATTCGATTGTAGTGATTCTGTGCTTAGCAAGAGCTCTTTTCGAGAGATCAAAGTTACAGTAACCAATAGGTGAATTGGCAGGAAGCTTTGCAGGAATACATTGAAAAATATATGTAATACCTGTATCAGTCTGAATTTTTTAAAGAAATGTAGTGGTGCTTTTCGAAGTATAACTTTTTGCTTTTTCTTCATGAAGTTTTATTCTTTAAAGGTCACTGGGATAAAGAAATGGGATTCTTTTTCTATCGGAAGTAAATTTTCTCTTGAGAGTTCATTCAGTTGATTTTAACACTTTTTTTTTCACTTTTCTTTCCCACTGTAAGAAACTCCTGCGATAATTGTAAACCTCCTATTGAAACTTTCTTTGCATTGACGGAAACAGGTTTGCACATATTTTCTCTTTGTTTTTTGACAATAAATAAACCTTTTTTATTGCAAGGTAAACCAATGCTTCACAACGGTCATTATGTTTTTGCATTTATCATAAAAAGCTCTACAAATTGTTCTGCGTTGAGTCCCATGATTACGCAAAAGCTAATGAACATTATGTTTTTCAGCTTTTTAGAATTATAAATCTTAGTTTATTATCTTTTTTATTGTAGCTAGACTTTGCAATCGATTTCCACGTTGGCGGATTTTCTACTGTTACCAACGATTTAAATTTAGAAACACAATACACAGCATATACCTCTGGATTTTTGTTTGGAAAGAAGAAGTAAAAGTAATGCCTAACGGATTTTCTCTTTCCGATCAATAACCTTGCTTTTTGCACTTAGAAACTTTGATAGCATGCATTTCACAACGTTTTTTAATTATAGAATATTTCTATTCGGAAAGCGCAAAAACATATCCTTCGATCCACAGCTTGTTTACATGTGGCTTGTCGAAAGAAGAATAAATATAAAAGTAGCAGACGGTATTTTTTGCTTCAACTAATAAGCTTTTGCCAGAAATGTTTTTCCAGATCATTTTCCTTTTCTTAATTCTTTATCGAAATAGTTCTAAAAATGTGTAAACAGCTTCTGTACATGAGCAAACGCAAGATGATATAAAAGCGTTAATTTACACAATGGGCCAGAAATTCGAAGTACAAACATTCCAGCTCAATGTACGAAACAAAAGAAACTTAAGTAATGTCAACCGTACAGCTCCATAAAGAAACTAAAAATGCGTTTAAAATAAATTTCAGAAACAGGAAGTTTTCCTTGAAATTAAAAAAAAAAATCAAGTGCAAATATTATAATTTTTATTTTTTAAAAAATTTTTTTGTTTATTTCTTATGCAAATACCATCTCGTACTTTAAAAAATTGATTTAAAATCTTGCATTTATATCCAAATTAAATTTGCATTTAACATTAAAAAAAACATTTAAAATACTAAACTGTTAGCGTGGGATTACTCACTTCACAAAATGGGAAAACTGTACTAAAAATAACTTTAACTTCTATTTATCTATCTGGTGAGTATATCGTTTCCTATTAAGCAACAAGCTGAAAAATCATGGAAACGCTTGACAGTAAAATAATATTGTTGGCTTGAAATATAATTCTCTCTGTTACATAATGGATTAGCTTAACAATTTTATCTGTGTTTATAATCTATTCGACTTAGTGTGACTTTCCCCCCCCCCCGGATAAGTGAATTTAAGAAGAATATGGAAGTCACTTGAACAATGGATTTGACTTTGACGTCACATTGCGTCACATTCATTTTTCATTCATTTGTCATCTACCATAAAAAAGCGCATTATCGTTAAGCACAGAAAAAGGAACCAAGTAATAGATATTTTGAATATTTATTAGAAAAGCTTTTACTTCAAAACACAGATTTTTACCTAAATTATTCTTAATACTCTTCAAAGCATTATTTATTATTCAAATTATAAGGTATTTCTCCCACCTTTTTAGCATGCCTTCGTGGTGTAGTGATCAGCACGCTCGACGCGTATTCGAGAGTCCGTGTTTTGAGTCCCGGCGAAGGCATTGCTTATTTTTCATCTTTCCTGCTTCGAAATAACCTAATCACTCCACAGTGGCGCCCAAACTAAAAACGGTGGGGGTTGATGATTCTCCACCAACAAGATTTGGCGATTTGGTCCTCTAATCCCCAGTCGCCCTTTAAAAGGTGGAGTATATAATGTATTTCCAGCCTTCTTAGCATGCCTTCGTGGTGTAATGGTCAGCACTCTCGACGCGTATTCCAGAGGTCCATGGTTCGAGCCCCGGTGAGGGAATTGCTGATTTTTCATTTCTCCTGTTTTCATATAACCTAATGTCTCTACAGTGGCGCCCGAACTAAAAGGTGGTGAATGATGATTCTTCACCACCAGGATTTGGCGATTGGGTTCCCTGAAACCCCAGTCGCCTTTTAAATGGGGGAGTATATAAAGTATTTCTCCCGCCTTTTTAGCATGCCTTCGTAGTGTAGTGGTCAGCACGCTTGACGCCTATTCGAGAGGTCCGTGTTTCGAGTGCTGGCGAAGGCATTGTTCATTTTCCATCTCTCCTGCTTCGAAATAACCTAATGTCTCTAAAAAATAACAAATCTGGGGGTACATATAGCAGGAAACGCAGCCATTTTGAAGCTGTTCATATTATTGAAGGGTTCAGCTGGTAGTTTGATTTAATTGATGGAAAATTCAGTTCATTCACTGGAAATTAAATTTGTAAAGAAATACTAGCTTAGTAAATTTAACCACTCGATATCTGGGATGATTAATTTAACTCTAAAAAAAAAAAGCTTTTAACTAAAACTCGGCGATTTCTTTTTATTTCGTGCGTAAATCGTCGGAGCATATAAAATTTATATGAGAGGCATATGAATCTTTGTACATGTAGTGCGGAAGAAATCCAAAACCACTTTATTTTCGACTAACTTGGAAATGGCAGAACATCACTTTAATAGACTGGCTATTGCATAATAATCAACGTGTGTTGCCTTATAACAAAATAGTTCTTATAACAAAGTCCTTATAACAAAATTGCGCGCCAAATATCAACTCCGATAAAATGGATGCAACCTCATTTGCACTTGGACAGTAACCGTTTCCTCCTTAGTTACTGGCTATTCTTGAATACGACAGTATTATGCTATTTTAATCCCCTGCTCCCAGAGTCATAATGTATCTCAAACGAGCATGTGCAGAGCTCATCTGAGCCAACTGTTCCCAGTGCATCACATATTCGCTTGAGCTATTTGTATTATTATGTATCTGCATCAACATGCTACCGCCTACTGAGTCCAAAAGTCCAGTCTCCAATAATTCTGCCTATAACCATATGATTAACTACGCATGAATCCACGTACTATACCTTTTATTAGTTCTATTCAGCCCATATACTACAGAGCATTCATTACACGTAGAATTGTATTTACTGAACATTAGTTACTCATTTAGTAGCTCTTTTCTTTTTGTAAGCAATGCGACATGCAGATGTTAGAATTCGAACATAAGTATGTTTTTATACAAGTTTTAAATTTAGTTACTAATTCTGTAACGTACAAGACAACACAATACATTTTTTCTTACATTCATAACTGGCCGTGCAAACTTTAAAAGTTATGTGAGTAGATTTAAGTTAGATCCGGAGATTTTTTGTGACTGCAACGTGGGTGGCGAGGTAAATGTTAAACATGTGCTTCTTCTTCCAACCATAATAGTGAACTTAAGCCATACATTTTTAACATAATATTTAAAATAGTATTTGCGTATTATAATATTCTCTTCCTATTTTAGTAAATCGTTTTAGAAATTTACCATGATATGTTTTATAGTTCCGCAGCGTAGAGTGACATTCTGCAGAAACTGCCTACGATTATTTGTCAGTTTCAACTTCGCAAGTAATTCGTCAGTTTCAACTAAGTTTTTGACAAAACAGTTGCATTATACTTCTGTTTCACATTTTAGTAAAGATTTCATTGTTGCCCTCTGCAGTATTTTGCTAAGCAGTTAATACATAATGCAAACTCCTTTTCTTACATCGCCATCTCTTGCTACCAAACTCAATTTTACTCACAAGAATATACATGCATACATATATCTAAAAAAATAGTTCAAAACCTAATCCACATGCGCTTTGACAGCAGCCAACAAATGGTGATAATTAAGCAAAAGGAATTAAAATGAAACTTTTAAAATCCATCCCATACTCAATTCCGGAAAACAGAATACAGTAATAAAAGAATGCACAGTGTCTCATTGTTTGTATCAGTGTTTGCATGAAAGGGGCAAAAACATGTTAAACCAGGGAAACCTTTTAGCCCGGGGGCGTATTGGCTCCTTCACGAAGCCTCGAGGCCCAAGTCCTAGTTAGGTCCTCATACATGGTGATGTAATTATGATGAATAGTATACACATGTTTTTATACAAAGCAACAAGAGATTGGTGATTGGATCTATGTCGTTATGATAACACGAAGAGACTTTCATGCAGTTTCACTTAATACAAATTTCTTAAAACTGTTAAAACATTCGCAAAAATATTCTTATCCCAAAATATCAGAGATTTCTTCGGTTTTCAATATAACTTTACTTTTCAGTGGATTTACCTCCCCGTAGTAACAACTTATCAGCTTATTTTGCTTACGTTTTGATCAGTTGCAAATTTCCGCTCACAGGTGTTTCATATTTTGAGCAAGTTTTATTCGAGAACAAATTTTCAAAATTAAAATTATTTACAATATATGCAGAACAAAAATTAAGATTTAAACAAAATCACTGCTGAAAATTTCTAAAAAATCCAAAATATTACTATAAGAGTAGCTAAAAAAAGAACACTCGAAACCTTTATTCTCGTAAAAAAATATAATGAAAAAATTTTCAGTGCAGTGTTACACTATTTCACTCACTGTAAATTTCAAAATGGTTGTATAACATTTAAAATATACTTTATAAAGAACATACATGGCATGCGATAAATCTGTAATCAGATACTGTAATTAATTTTTATCTATTTTTTAGCTCCTCTTTTATAATATAATTTTAAAATTTGCAATTATAGCTTGAACAGTAGTTGTTTGGATTACGACATTCGTTTATATGTGATTTGATTTCGATAAAGCGTTGATTTACGTTTGATTTTAATTAATAAAAAGCATATAAGAGCTATATATCAAGGGAAATATGCTTTCGCGGAACCTTTCTAAGGGAAGCTGACTCATATTCACATTACACTTTGTGGAAATCAAGAAAATTATCACTATACCACTGCGCCATCTATTTTATGGGATTTGAATCCAAGCCGAACTAACAATGTTCACCAGTCTTTTTTTAATAATCTCATGAAAATTGTTTGAAGATATGCGACTGAAAATCTGGGAACACTCTGAACTAAAAATAGCAAACTAAGACTAAAAAAATAAGCAAATTTAAACTAAAAGAATTTGTATAAAACTAAAAATAAAGGAAATCTTGATGTTAAAATAAGTCAGCTATGCATTCGTAGAAACTCGTTTATTTTATTATTTACTATCATAAAATACACAGAAGTAAAGTACAAAAGTTTTCATCTTGATATCTATTATTTATAATATGCATAATTTTCATAAATATCGACCATCTTGATATAGGTATAAGTAAAGAGACCATTGTTCATGGAAACAGAGAACATAATCTTAGGGAACGATAAGTACCTCGCTCAATATTGTAAACGCATTTCCTATGTGGTGATGTATTCTCTCCAGTTCTCAGTGATATTGTTTAACTAAATTTTACTACAAGCACATAGTATCTAATTCATGCCCATAAAGACGTTTCTATTATACATATCCTTTCACTGCAATAGTTAGCGTTCCGATTGCTTAAAAATCTCGCTCAGCTATAGTCTAGGGCAGAGTTTCTTGAACTGTGGGTGGCGGGACATGCAGCAGGGGGTCGCTAAAAATTTTAGCAGTTTTGATATTCCTTTAACTGATTATAATAATTTTACACGTACCAAATATTTTCTGTTTATAGTATAAACGCTCATTTTACTTGATTTGCACATGACGCTGTCATTTCGTCTGTTCGTTTGTTATTTATTTAAAATTTTCACATTGTTCTATGTCTTAAAATTAGAAATTAAAGTTAAGGACCTAAAACTTGCTATAGCATATTACAGTACAAGTGAGAAAATTGACAGTTTCACTCACGCGTGTGTCGGATTTGCGCAATACTTATGGGGTGCCATAAAATTTTCGTAAATATTATGGGGTCCTGGGGTCATGAAAAAAAATCTCAGTGATAAAAAGCGGTCAAGACAGAAAAAGTTTAAGAAGCCCTGGTCTAGGGCTTACAGATCAAGATTTCTCTCTACCAAACTCCTGCTGCCATTATTATCTAATACATATTTAGCAAAGAAACAACCTTGCATTTGGGTAGATTTAGACACACAAACACACACACAAAGAAAAAAAAAAAAGAAAAAGAGGATACAAGTATTCCATTTCGCACATACAGAAATTTAAGAGTTAATTTCTCCAAAACGAATACTTTCGCCAAATTGAAGGATTAGCTATAGATAGTCCTTTCAGGCCTATACTTGCTAACATTTACATGTACTATTTGGAAGTCAAATTAGTTGAGAAACTATCTTTTTGTCTTTGGATTCGCTACATAGCCGACACTAACGCGCTTTTTGACCGTAATAAATGAGATTTATCTCAGATTTTTATCTATTCCAAATTCGACATATTCTGCCATCCAGTTCACTTTTGAAACTGAATCTGATAATACCCTTCCACTCTTATAATTCGTAATGAATCTAATTTCAGTACTACTGTTTTCCGTTCGTTGGACGGATATTCAGAGTTATAGATACTAAAACACTAAAAACGTGCCAGTGAAATGCTAATTTATCCTTTCCCTGTACATTTTTGGCGAGGTATTACTAGCCCCGAGCTCAATTTTAGTGGCATTAACGCGATGCCTATCATACTGTGGCTACTGATGTTCAATTGGAAAGCGAGAACATTGTTTGTAATTACTGTCCTGATAGTTTTCCAGTCCAAATGTCATTGAATCTGAGCAAATCAACACAGTCATATCCATCGGCAACAGATCAGCAACTGAAAACAGTTGTAATACCTAACTCAGAATGTAACCAAATGAATATCAGTCCATAACTTTTTAAGTGTTAGGAACAGCACTGTCCTAGAATGCGAGATTTCACTAGACGAACCTATCAACAACTTCATTTAAAGTGTAAATAGCCAATGAGAAACATACGTCGCCTTTTCGGATGATTATACTGCTGACTGAAGACAACTTATTACTTTTGCTTAATAGCTATAATTCATCTGTATCAATGCAGCGAAACCATTTTTAATAAATTATTTTTATATATTTTTTGCTATCATTATTGATTATTTTTCTCATGTCTTAAGTATCTTATGAAATATTTACGAGCGATTTTCCACATCCAGGCTTTTTCCAATTTAAAACTATGGTTGTAAACTTTCAGTCCTTATAATTTGCATGGCAATGTATTTTAAACAATTGAGCATATAT